CTGAAATTAAATCATTGCGACACTGCCACTCGAGGGCATCAATTTCAATAAATGATCACCTTCTTTATTTCCGACCCGTTTATCATGCAAAAAGGATGCAAGGAGGACTTGGGCTGAACAATGTTGAAGGCCACAGGCCTCTGATTCCCCACACTGGCCAGACTTGCTACAGTGCTCTGGGCCAACTGGAGTTAGACCCAACATAGCTTGGCAAAGGCAGTCAGACGTCTTTTCAGAAGCAAATTCCTCATGGCCTCTTTCCATGTTGCCCTATCCTGAGCCTCTTCCTCATCAGCCTGCTGAGACCTGCTGGTCTATTTACAGGAAACTTCAGGGTCTGTACACTAGTGGCAGAAAGTCTCTATGGTTCAGTGAGGGGTAACTGTCCCATTTGCCAGAATGGTGGGCAGAGGCAAAAGCAGAGTCTGGGTGGGGAAAGCATGTCCTGCTACCCTAGTCCTGACTGGCACCCTGACAGGGTGTTGCTGATACTGTAGGATGAAAGAAGGAAACAGAGAGCAGCTGGGAGCTCTGTTTAGAAGGTAAGAAGCCGAGGCTGGGAAGGGCTGTGGTGGTTCCATAGCCACGCTGCAAATTAGCGGCGGAACCGAGGCTGAAACTGCATCTCCTGACACCCTTCGGGTTGAATCACTTTGGGTTAGATTCCTCTGGCAGGTCTCCCATTAAGATTGCTGCTGGTTTTACAGCTGGGGTCTTGGGTCAGAAGTGACTGGTTTACAGAAACGTGGCAGCCATGTGAGAACCAACACTGACTTTGGGTTGTCTTCCCCTGGGGAGGTTGCTGCAGATTTCAGTCTAAGGGCAATAAGTGTCAGGACTTCTAGATGCTGCTGTTCAGCCGGGAGACAGGGCACAGGAGGGCTGGGCTCCGGAGTGTGCACTCTGACCTTCATCACATCACATCCTGCCTCTAGGCTTGGTTCTGCCCATCAGGAAATCATTGGGGAAAAGGGAACTCAAGTCTCCTCTGAGAGTAGGGTTAAGATCCTGCGGAAGGTGAATCTGTGTGCCGAGGACACTCATTTTTCTACCACCTTCTGGATCCAGCCGTGTTTGTGCTAGAATGGCCCTGACAGCTTATCTCAGCTCAAGTCCGAGTATCACCAAATCCTATCAGATTAAAACACCTTTTCAAGTATTCAAATGATTGGCAAGTTCTATCCTTTCAGGGCCCAATTCTTCCCTCCACACCCTGTGTAGTCTGGTCATACATGATAAAGTCCCCAGACACCCACAGCTACGGGAGAAAGCCCTGTGCTTGGAGAGGAAGAAGAGTTTGCGATGGATGTTCTGGGAGGAGCCCTGGAGAGTCGCTCCTGCAGCTGGAAACCCCACCAGTCCTTGAGGCTGTGTTTCTGAGGCCAGGAAGACACGGGCTTCACACTGTTGGGCTGCTCTTTCTGAAGCAGCTTTCTGCAGAAAGGCAGGGACATGCAGGAGGCAGAGTAGGAGCTGGGTGTCCTGTGCTGGCTCTGCTGGCGCTGCTCTGAGCTTAGCCTTTCAATATCTCTGGGTCCCAACTTGAAAACATTTGCACAAGCATGTGCTGCTGCTCTCTTGCCTGTGTGTTCTGTACTGGGCTGGGTGCTCCCTGAAAGCTGTGCCTGTGCTGTCTTTGTCTATTCCCAGCACCTATTATACGGGAGGCGCTCAATCCATGGTTTTTAAATAAATGTATGCCCTGGAAAGCAGCTAGCACATATTAAGTGTCTACTATAATTGGGCAAATTGTGAGACATTTTCTTTGTGCCATTTCACAACTCACTGTATTAAGTAGGGTATTATCATATTCATTTAATTAATGGGAACTTTGTGGGTTGTAATTTTTAGTTAAGATGTCCTTTCCTGTGCCTGCTGGATTCTGTGGCCAGTGGGGCTGGGCTACTGGACATCCCATTTCTCTGGTTCCTTGCTTTTGCAGCCATTCTGGCTGGCCGGGTGAGCAGGTGAACATGCTGGGCGCTCTCTGTCATCTGTGCCCTAGGAGATCCTGGCCAAAGCCAGGCCATGTTGGCAGACATGTGCTCACTCTGTGATTCATTAGACCTGCTGGGATTCCCCAAATGCCTTCCCTGACACCAGTGCCTCCAAGTAGGATGCTGCTCCCCATGACATTGTCTGCTCACAACTCATGGCTTCCGGGGACTGCGTGGACTCTCTGACTTATCATTCCTCAGCCCATGCCTCTGCGTCAGGCTCTCCCAAGATGACTTTGTTATGACAACTTCTTTCCTTATTACTATAAACACTGAATGTCATTTTCCAAATAGCAGTCCCCAAGCCACCATGTTCTGTTCTGAGCAGAAGCCAGCCTCATTTGTAATCATCCCTGTCACCATCAGGATTTCACTGTGTCCCCCTTGCCACACTGAGGACTGTGCTGTTGGTGTCATCTCTGACATTAAAAGGGGTGAGCTTCCAAAGAGGCAAACTGTCCAAGATCTCAAAACCAAAGGATTCTTGACCCATAGTCAGAGAACGGACAAGTCTCAATCTTTTGTGTCAAAACTCTCAGCAGAACAGAGCCAACTAAGGTATTAATGGCCTCTTACCTTTGCATCCTGCTCAGTGTGTGAAAAACCCTTTACACCCTTGATTGCATTGACCCCACAGCATCATGTGAGTAGGACCAGCATCATCATCCCCATTTTACAGATGGGGAAACAGGTTTGGGAGGGGATGGGATTTGCCTGAAATCATAGAGCTCTTTCTTTGAACATCCTTTGGTGGACCACCAAAGGCTGGCCTTTGTATTCTTGCATGCCTCTATAATACTGATAAATAAAAAATAGTCAATAAATGATTGTTCATTGCCCTATGACTGAATAGTGAACTATGACTTACATTTAGGACTTTGATTCACAGCATAATATTTTTTTTCTGCTGCATCACTGTGAACTAATTGAGTTTTTCCAGCAATGGGTAAAAAGATTCAGACCCCCTCCACCTTGTCTCGTTAGTGACCTTGGGCAAGTTATTTGACCTCACTGAATTTCCTCATCTATAAAATGGAAGATAATAATAGCTTCTGCTTCATTGTGTTGTTTAGTATTAAATTTAAAAAATGCATGTAAAGTGCATAGCAGTGACTGGATAGCACATCTAGGAAGTACTTAATAAGTATTAGTAATAGTTATAGTTATCATTATTCAAGGGTAGGGACTTGGGCATTATATATCTTTGTAACCCAGGACTTGGTTCAGCAGTTGGCAAGACACTTGCTGCCAAAACACACTCATCATGTGACATGGAGCAAGTCCCTTCCTTCTCCTGGGTCTCAGTTCCAGTTCCAACACCTGTGAACTGACGAGGGTGAACCAGATAAATCCCATGACTTCTCCCAGCTTTAAAATGCTCTGGTTATTTCAGTGGTTCTCAATGGGGATGATTTCACCCCCCAGGGCACATCTGGCCATGTCTGGAGACATGTTTTTGGTCACAACCACGGAAGGTGCTACTCGCATCTAGTGGGTAGAGGACTAGGAAGCTGGGGACCATGTATAAGTCAATGTTGATGAAAAGAATTATCTGGTTCTAGCTGTCAATAATGCCAAGACTGAGCAACCTGGATCCAGCTCTACACAAATACCCAGAGCTCTCTGAATTGCTGGACAGGTGCCTATGTCCTACAGTTTGCCAAAATGCCCATGGACGCAGCATTCCTCCATACAGCAGAGAAGTCTATGGATCTCCCCTTCAAGAAATTACTAAGCAGTCTATACAGCTTTATTGAGAAATCAGTAGGCAGAACCCACCCTCCCCCAACCCAGCACACCATGGAGGTGGAGGATGGGTAACATCTTGTTCAGATGGGAACCCTCTGCAAGGTATTTTCTCAGAGAGAAGCTAAGTCCAAAGTCTAAGCTTAACTAGAAATTTGAGATCTTTCTCCTGCAAACATGCCATAAAGAAGGATCTCTCACCCTTATCCTATATAATAAAAAGCTAATATGCAAATCAACTAAACAGTGGAACGACCGGTCACTATGATGTGCACTGACCACCAGGGGGCAGATGCTCAATTCAGGAGCTGCCCCCTGGTGGGAGCGCCACTCAGCCCAGAAGCTGGGCTCATGGCTGGCGAGCACAGCGGCGGTGGTGGGAGCCTCTCCTGCCTCCATAGCAGTTGGACATCCCCCGAGGGCTCCCGGACTGTGAGAGGGCACAGGCCAGGCTGAGGGACCTCCCCCCACCTCCTGAGAGCACGAATTTCACGCACCAGGCCTCTAGTTGATTATAAAGTAATCAGACCTGGGGGCCATTCACAACTGGGGTCTTGCAGTGGTATTTACACTTATGGAAAGAGAAAAAAGGCAGCCACAGAGATGCCCTGGTTCATGTTGGCTTTTCAATGTCACCACTTCTAGAGGCACTCTGGATCAGGAAGTAGGCAGGTATCTTCTAGAGGAGTTCACTGACATGAGTATTGGGTGTCACTTCAGTATTGGGTAAGCTTTAGAGGTTCTAGAACAAAGGTTGTTCCAGTCTCTGCTGATTTGAGACCGATACCGTGTGGTCTCCCTGACCAGTTCTGCTCTAGGTCCCACGCTCCTGCAGGACCTGCTAGGATGGCTACAATAGTTTGCTCTTTCCCTTCCCACCAAAGTTCTGCTAATAAAACCCACTTTCCAGCACATTAAATTACTTTCATTTCGGCCGTTTAACACTCCCCTGGGCTGTTTTTCCTTGGCTCTGTCTGGATTTTGGGAAATGAATATCTTTAACACCCACTCATTAAATGCCCACTCTGCCAGCTGCTCCTCTGGCCTCTGGAAGGCCACCAGCCTGGGCAGCCAGAGGGCCCCACAGACCAGGGCCCGAGACACTATCCAGGGAATAGCAGCAGTGATGGCTCAGTCTGATCCCTGCCCATTAAAGAGCAACTGTGAGTTTTAAGTAGATGTCATAGACTCTGAACTTTTTCATCCAAAAGCCAAGTTGTCTTCAATAAAATAGATCTGGAATGGGCAAGGACTTACCCATGCTTCCCCGGAGTGGGTACCAGGAGGATCTCTCTTCCAGCCTCGTTGTGGGGCAGCAGCTGGGCGACGTACCTCCCGGAAGGTTGCAGGTGCCTGTGCACAGAGACGGCCAGCCTGCAGTGCTCGCTGCTACTCCTCATCCACGGGCTCAAGATGGTATGCTTGGAGTTTGCTGAGGTGTTGAGGAGGAGGAAGGAGCCTGACAAGAGACAAGGAAAGTGACTCTGCAGATCTGTCCAGACAGATGGACCAGCAGCACCTCTGCAGCAGGTGTTAGAGACCAATGGCATCAAAGTCTGTGATGCTGGAGGCCTTCATCACTCTCTTGGCACACACCAGCCCTCTTCCCCATCTATTCCCTTTGTAAAATCTAAAACCTGATGTAAGAGAATGGTGACAGAGGACGGGGACTTTATAATCAGGCACACCAAAGTTCTCACCTTAGCTCCTCTACTTAGTAGCTCTATGTCCTTGAGTCTGAGGCTCATCACCTGTAAAATGGGAATGGAAACCTCTATTTTAAGGGTGGGTGCAAGGATTATGTGAGATAATCCTGGAGAGCATTTTACCCAGTTTTAGGCAGGGAGGAAGCACCTATTAAATAAACAATGATTTGATTTTACTGTCTTCGAAGTTAAAGTAGAGATGACAGCTCACAGATTCTTTGCCAGCCAATAGGTACAATTAACAAAATCCCCATAGGAAACAGGGGAAGAATAGTGTGTATTACCTAATCCTCACAGGGTGAACACTTAGAAACCCAACCCAAGTGCTAAGACATTCTTATAGATTTTCATACTGGTCTAGGGGGACAGTCTAACCGAGTTACTCCCTCCATAAATGTGCCGAGTGGAGCCAGGACATGAGTGCCATCTTGTGAACATCAGTCTAGGGTACCTCCACACCCCAGAAACCAGGACTCTGGCATCTAGGCCACTCTTTAGGTCATAATTTAAATCAGAGCTGACTACGTTCTCCATGTCACATTCAAACCAGCTTGAGTTTCAATTTATTGTTGGCCAATTCAGTTTCCCAGTAATGTATGCATTAGCTCTCGGTTCTCAAATAGTTATGACTGGCTCAAGGTTTTCCATGAGAGGTGTGTGCTTGGGAAGGAAGTATTTGGGTCACTTATAAGGTAGTAGTTAAGATCCTGGCTCCTGCTCCTTTGCTTACTTGCTGAGTGAACTTGGGCAAAGCACTGACTTTCTCAGGTTTCAGTTTTCTGTTTATCAAATAGGGTGAGAAGGGTTGGCTGAACTTATAAATCTCTGAAGATTCATTTCTGCTCTCGAGTCTATGAGCCATGTGAATTTGCAACTGGTCTCCATAAAGAAATCCTTACAAACCCCTCACCCCCGCCCACCCCCACCCGGTGTTGTGCCTGTGGCTGAGTTTCCCTCTAGGGCAAGCCAACCCTAATTCCAGTAGCAGTGGCCAGTGACAGACAAGAAACTTGTATTCCTGGTGGTTACTGTCAGCATGAAAGCACAGCACCATGTTACTGCTCCAGTCATTCCCTCTGGTGCGCTAGTTTACTTGCCACACTTCTGAGTTGCAGTTTTGGACCATTAGATGCTGCTCCTTGGCCGTGGAAGCCAATTCCAACAAGATCTCCAACACTTCCAGTGGGAACCAGCTAAGGAGTGCTCAACTCAGCCTTTTACCGCCCCCCCCCCCCCCGCCCCTCTTTCTGGGCACCTTAAATTAGTCTCCTTCTCCAGATAACAGGACTTACCAAGTAGGCAAATGAACTAGCACCCCTCAATAGAGAATGATGCAGATAAAAAAAGGGGGTATTCCTAAGAGAAGCAAAGCAGTGTCCAAGGAGAAGGCATTGTGTCAGGATTAGAGATTGGTAATATTCTGGAGGTAGATAAATGTTACTTTTGGTTAAAATCAGGATAGGTCAGCACAGTTTCTGAGCTGGATGGAGGACATTGGCAAATACTGGAAACTGAGTCCTCTGTAATGTTAGGAAGCTTTAGCATGGCCTATGGGCCTTTGAAACTTCTCTACAACCCTCAGTAAATAATCTACATCATTACTCTGTTTTACAATGGGGGAGACATTCTTATAATGGGCTTAGAAGTAAAATAAAAGGATTAGAATCAAAGATTCAGAATTAAAAAGGACTTAACGAGCATATAATATAGTGCCCTTGATTTTCTATGGAAGCAGACTGGAGATCAGAATGGAAAAATGACTTATTCAAAGTCTTAAATAGGAAGTCCAGACCAGACTTCAGGTCTCTGAACTCTTAACCAGTGCTCTTTCCCTTCTTCTTTTTTCATTATCCCACTGTATCCTTTATCCTAAAAAATGACCAGGGTGCCTTGTGGCCAAGTTGTGTAGCTCAGGAACTCAGAGGGATGGGAAAGGAGAAAGAAAGGTAGATGGGACCTGAACCAAATCTATTTGTTCACTGGCTTCCTTACCCACTCGTTCTGCCCTCAACGTTCATTTAATGGATGCCTACTCTGAGCAAAGATTCAAGCACTGGCTCTGCCCTGGGAACACAGACATGAACCAGACACAGTTCTGGCCTTCAAGGAACATCAGGTCCAGGAGGGATGATGAGGTGTTTGCAGTAACTGCAATCAAAAGCAGAGGTTCTAAGTCACAAGACACAAACAGGCTTTGAGCTAGTCTTCAAGGGCAAGAAAAACAAAGGTATTGGCAGAATCCACAGTGCAGGATCTGAGAGGCATAAATGCAGAAAGTGTGTCATGGCCTTGGCTACAGAGTAGAGTACATGAAGAGAAGGCTGGGGAATAAGAAAGGCTAGGGTGGGGGGTGTGGGACCATAGAGATTTAATTCCTGGCTGAAGATGTTCATCTTTATTTTGTGAAGAATAAGGAGCCAGAGGAGGTGTTTGAGCAGGACAGTGACATCATCAGAGTGGCGCTGCAGGAAGGTTACTCGGGTATGGTGGGAGACAGGGGGTCAATACTGACTCAACCGCATCCTACTCCACCAGTCCTCACTAGGCATGACTAAACGTAAACGTGATGGCCTTGTATGTTACTATTTTAAGCAAGGGTACTCTTTTGGGGACAGACTCTGGGTTTGACTGGGGTTCCCAATACTGTACTAGATTAGAGTGTATCTGTCCAGAGCAGGCGAGAGTTCTAGAATCACTTCTGGGTCAGAATTTTGTTCCAGACATTTTGGAGTCATGGTCTGGGGTTAGGAAAAAGCCACACATGTCACACATAAGGTGTCCTGGTCTGAGATTGTACTCTGATGTATTCAAATAGGTGGAAAGTCGACTGAAACCAATTTTGGAGCTTCTGAAGGAAAGAATGTAGGTAAATAAAGGAGGTGTTTCCCTTCTCATAAAAAAAAAAAGTTTACATGCATATGCACATGTGCACACAGATACACACACACACACACACACACACACACACACACCCCTGGGAAAATCAAGTTCCCAGCAGGAGAAAATGAGGCTGAAAATGCCCGGACTTGGGGGTCTTACAGCACCACTGTTCCTCCTTCATGGGTGTGAAAACATGTAAATTCTGTCCTTGTAATTCAGTACCTCAATAATGGGACTCTTTCAGAGATGACTGGAAGATGGATGATTCCTCCACTTCTAATATGTGAGATGATGTTTATATGAATTTTATTTTGTGCAACTGGACTATCAATAAGAGACAGAACTTAAAGTATTTTCACTCTCAATGAAACTCTGTAGTTGAGAGCTATCTCTTCATCAGCAGCTTTCCTCTACCCAAAAAAAAAAAAAAAAATACATTTCATAAGCTCCTTGGGATATTGTCAGCATAAATCTTCTAAAGTCAGTGAGAATTTATCTCTCTTCTCCCTCTTTTCTGTTTCCTGTTTACTTTGCTCAGAATAGCTTGGGGCTATGTGAAGGCTCCTGGGGTCCCCTCTAATTAAGAGGGATGGCCTGGCAGCTCACAGCCCTTCCCCCATGTGGGCCATGGGGCAATGCAGAAGCAGATCAAAGGCTTTGTTTACACAGTGCTGGGAGTGGACCCTGGTTTCCTTATTAGTGGGCTGGGTTGATTGTTCAACACTTAAATATGAAATAGTTGTTGTTTTTACCTTTGGTCACCAACACAGGGATGTGGGCTTAAATTATGAATCAGAAACCAAGGGCAGGAACCTCGAGGTCAGACAGACTCTTTCCTATCTATGCTCTGCCTCTATCCAGTTCTAGGATTTAGACAAATTATTTAAATTCTTTAAACCTTAGTTTTCTCAAAACTATGGCTTACTTCCTATGGCTGTGGTGGACGTGAAATGAAACATTAGTAATATGCATAAGGGGCCAGTACAGCTCTTGGTCCTTAGTAGGAATAAGATACATGGTGATTCCTGCTTCGAGGAGTCAGGAGCCTTAGAATCAAAAGGACTGAATTTGAGCCACTACCAAGCTTCCTTTGTTTGTAAACTGCAAGGACTGGATAGAGTCTCTCTAAGGGACCCTACAGCTCCAAACTGTCAGTAACTCTATCGGCCTGCCTGGAATATTATTAATCTAAAGGAACCCTGTCAAGTCTCCAAGCCCCCAAGCCCTAAAGACTTCTCCTCCTAATTCACCTCTCTGGGGTTTTTAAACCCAGAGTTTCAATCAACTGATCAAATACTCTGTGAACTGATTCCCTGCCCCACTTCCTCGCTTCCCATACCAGCATCATTTTTTCTGTAGATGCTTTTGCTATAAAGCTATTATCACTTCTAAATGTCTGATTTAGCACAATGCTTGTCACATGCCAGGTATGCAATCACTTTAAAATATATATATATATATATATATATATATATATATATATATATATATATATATATATATATATATAATCAATTTCAGAGAGGAAGGGAGAGGGAGAGAGAGATAGAAACATCAATGATGAGAGAGAATCATTGATTGGCTGCCTCCCACACACCCCACACTGGGGATCGAGCCTGAAACCCAGGCATGTGCCCTGACTGGGAATCGAATTATGACCTCCTGATTCATAGGTTGATGCTCAACCACTGAGCCATACTGCCCAGGCTGCAATGACTTTTTTTTTTTAAATCTAATATATACACATGGCAAGAAATAAAATTGTTCAGAATAGCTCATAATAATTTTTTAAAAACTATCTCTAAATCACTCTCCTCTCACCAAGTCTCAAAAACATTTTTAAAGATTTTTACTTTCTTTTGCCTTC